TTCCTCCTTTATGTGAGAAGACCCAATGATCCAAGAAACCACACCACACACGTTATGCAGTGGATGTTTGGTATCATACATGTAGTTTAATGATGTAAAACGCTCTCTTCCCTTTTCAGGGGTATGCTGAATGTACTAATTTATACATGTTTGGGGATGCGGAGAAGAAGGAAAGGTTCACGTGTGCTCACTGTATTATAATTTAATTATATATCTAGTTTCTATGCGTTATTCTAGATCGTCACTAAGCTTTTTACATAAAAATATTTCACAACATATAAACACGAGGTATGATCATCGTTATCTAACGCTTCCAAACTCTTCTGCTTTCATTTCTGCAGTGATGGGTCTACGACTTGAAATGTACATATTCAACCACGCAGCCTGAAACCCCATTTCATAGACCGCCTTTAAAAGTGAAGCCACAGCGCTTAGTGAGAGGAGACTGTGTCGACTTCGTTTAAAAGTTGTAATGAAAAATGCGATAGGAAATGAAAAGAAGGAGAGAAAAAAAGAATGAAAAGACGTGCAGCCATTATTCCCGATAAGTTTGCTAAATTGCAGATTTCGGTTGAAAAGTCAGCTCATACTCACTATATTATATATATTATCTATGCATATATATACATGTGTGTGTATGTCAGTGATGGGTTTAATATTCTTATTTCGAGAGCTGGCAGTAATTCATGACGTTAAACTTCGCGTCTTTACTTATCACTCTCCACAGAGTTAAGTTTAGCTGTGTCCCGAGGGAAGGTAGATTGAAGTCCTTATCTGACAGTTTTCAATTCTTCCTTCTCTCCTATAGTATTTTCAACTTCTTGTGTGACACTTGGTGTACAGTTGACAGCTCTATGCAAGCTCTGATTCTTCCCACGTGACACGTAGGTGATTTCCCCTCCATGAAGTAGCTAGGAAAAAGTGCATGGGTTGTCAATTTTTTAAAGCAAGTACAATTCACTATCATGAATGTTAGTAAACTTTTTTTAATTGCAAGTCCTGCAATAGTATAAGAATCAACAGTTTAGTTTCAAACTGTAATTTAGTCAACCTAAATTAGTATCTTCATTAACAAGAATTTATGTGTAAAATAAGAATCTCGTATATGTCAATATGTTTATGACATATGTACGAGAAAAAGTGCTCGATAATTCACCAGGTCAACACAGTTTAAATAATCAGGATTATACTTATTTTAAAGTGATCTATGCACAAAAGAGATAAACAAAATTATTTCATGTTTTTACTGAAAGAGACAAGACGGTGAATGCAGACTGTGCTCTGTAGACATTTCTCTCTTTTACCAAATATTTATTAAAGATGACAGAGTTACATATGATTTCACTAATCTAACTAATTCACTAGATATCTATCTTGTCAAGATAATATTTTGTTGTTGTTTTTTTTTCTCCATGGAGATGAGTACTTTGACCCTTTCATGGACTAAACATGTTATATCCTGTTGGCGACTCGGGTCTCAGCTTGAAACCACGGTCTGTCTACTAATACCGACTTTTTCTTTCTTTTTACTACCATAATAGCTTGTCGCTGTACGAGAAGAAAGGGGTAATTTAAACCAGTGAAGGGAAAAGTGTGGTAGCAGTGATTGTCGAAGTGTGGAAAATTATATTTCCTATTACCGCCCCAAAACAACCGGCCGTCACTCTTATGTCCTTTATTGATTTGTTTTCCTAAGAAAGCACTCAAATTGTAGGGTTGAAACCTGCTATTTGAAGACTCTTTTTTTTACTTACCTTAAACAAGAAAGCCAAAACTTGTGCTTATGCCTGTAATGACTGGTTTCACTTATTCTTCACACCATGAGTTTTATAAAACCTTTGTCGTCTAAAACTACTCAACTATTTAATTCTTAAATAAGAGAAGCTACTCTATTCGTGTGTGGGCTCTATAAGGATATTGAACATGGAGACGTAATAAGTTTTATTTTATATAAAAAAATGTCAACAAGCTTGATTTCCTACCTAATTTCTTATTAACAATGGCGTAATATTATCTAAGTCAAAAGGTAATGATAATTTAGAAAAGTCATTTCTCTCTTTTTTGAAACTTTCCAGTATGTATTCTTTACAATCGACGCAGGTAAAAATAAAAATACAGCAGTTATAAGAACATATACGAGTTAAAGTAAAGAAGAACGTATAACGGCTACATCCAGTGCCAACGAGGCCTTTCGACCATTGCCAAAGCTCACAAGAATTGCTGGGATACTACAGACATAGATAGTATTAGTCAAATCGCCATATATATTATCATTTTCTTGATTGGCAACTGTTTTAATGCGAACTGGATTAAGTTGGTGAATAGTAAATTTTATTAATTTTAAGTCATCACAATTCAGGATTCGGTTTATGATTTGATGACTTATTTATTTTAACAACCAATTTTTTATTACTCATATTATTCAATCAATTATTTATTTTACTTAAATTAACGTTTCTCATCTTACAGAAGAACTGACGAATCGGTCAGTAAGCTAGTCTCTCTCTCTCTATTTCCTACCCCGGAGCTGACCAAGGTCTACAGAGTCAAAGGGAGAAAACTACATTATTAATTATGAGAACTTATAAGAAAAAAATAAGGATGGGTAAAAAAAATATATTATCCACACTATACCTGTTATATAAATTGCCGACAAGGCATTTCGCTCAATACCAAGGCACATCAGGCCGGCTGGGATATGACAGACATGGCAATAATCGAGACGCTATTTAGATCATCAGTTACTTGAAGAACAACTACATCTGTGTGAACTAGATTAAATTAGGGAACTGTAATTCTTTATCAATTTTATCATCTCAGTATTGAAATTTGAAGTTTTGAAAATTATTTTGGGTGATAAGAGAATAAGCGCCTAACTGTGTCACTGGAACATATTTCATTATCAGATGTGTAACGATATCAAAGTCTTACGTTTTTCCCAATTGAAAAAACAACAAAAAGCAAAAACATTTTTTAGCAAACGTTTGTGTTCTTGCTGGTGAGTGTCAAGTGGAACGAACAATACGCACCATCAAACAGTTGCTGTATAAAAACTGAATTAAAAGGGTTAATTTCTTTTTGTATATCTTTACAATATTTATTCATATGAAAATGCACTACTACAGCAAATTTTCTATGGTATATTTCTAGTAATAGTATTGTTGTATTGGGGAACTTATTGGATATTCATTTTTTGTTAGTGTGTGTTACATTAATTTTGCATCTACAAAATTAAAAAAAAAGGAATGAAATTCAATTTATTTGAAATTTTAAACTGGCCATGCTTTGTATTTCAAACATTTCTGTGTTGTTATGCAGTAAATTTGAGTGAAAGGTTGAAATAAAAACTTTAAAAAACCAGTGAAGTATTTTGAATAGTACCATATTTTTATAGATGAGTTTTTAGCGCCTGTAGTAGAATGTTGTATATGATGCGTTAACTTTCCACGCACAATTTCGTAGTGTCTTGAAGATTCGTTTAAAAGGTAAAGAAATGTCGTTATTTAAAGATGGTATTGTTTTTTTAGCCTCCTGGTGCGACTTCGTGTATTTTCTTATATCGATTAATACATGAACTATCCCTTTGAAAAGTTTTAATAGAAATATATCGTAGGACATTTCTTTAGTTTTAGCACTTGTGGTTCCAAAGATTTTAATAAGTGTGTCCAGTAAAAGATGCGTTTCTTACACTAAGATATGTTTTACTGAGTATGTAAAATATGTAAAGATTTTCTCTTAACTTTAGGTAACTCAAAATGTACTGAGTTTTCTCGTATCTAGTCGAGTGAATTGAAATAGTTTTTTCACAACGTCACAAAGGAAATGTATAAAGATTTTCTTGTAACTAAATGAAAAAGTTATCTACGAATTAGCTCTTAACTAGGCGACTATAATCTAAACACATTTTTGTTTTCAAACTAGGTGACTAAAATGTATAGTGAAAACTTCGGGACCAGTAGCTCGACAAATGGTAACTACTGGTAAGTTGTTTCGATTATTTGTAATTAAGCACAAAGCTACACAAGGGGATATCTGTGCTCTGCCCGCCACGGGTATCGAAACCCGGATTCTAGCGTTGTAAGTCCGCAGACATACCGCTGTGCTACTGGGGGGGGGGGGTTGTTTCGTAGCCTGGCCACTTAAAAACGTACTATTTTTTGTCGGCGGCGTTTTGCTTGGGCAATGTTAGTTTCTATAGTATAATGTTTAATTTGATAAAATATGTTGAGTGACTTCCATGTTTCAACATTTTCCTGCATTAATCTTCCTTGTAAGCATTTTAATTTCTTCATATTTCAGAATGTAATATTTGTAAAAGGAAAAAAAAAGAAGGAAACCATTTCTCTAACTGGACATCATTTACAGCCATTCGAAAGATTAGAAGAGAGACAATGTTGGTACCCGATTCCTCGAGACTATTCACTTAGCAACCATTCCCAAACATGTGCAGAGTGTTAATGTGACTGTTACGCCCGTACGCAATATTTCGCTGTGGTTCAGTAAACTAATTAAAATCAAATGATACACGGACCATCTACATTTGCCTCCAGTGCCTCGATGGTAAGTCTGAGTGCTTATCACGCTAAAAATATTGTTTCGATACCCGTGGTGAGCAGACTATAGGTGGCCCATTGTGTACTTTTGCTATTAACAACAAACAAATATATATATAAAAAAAACACTTATATTGTAATTTGTTTGACAGGTGTCATCTGGCGGTAAGTAAGAAATTAAAATACAGAATGAAAGCTTTCGAGCCGTAGATTTAACAGCTATTCACATTGATTTAAAATATAGTTTCCTTAATCATGTTATTTCATATCATCGTTATTAGTTTTATAAATATACTTCATGTGTAAAGTTTAATAATAAATATAAAAGTTAGTAGACAATGAGTTATATAAGTTTTCAAGTTTCGATATTTTCCCATGTTAACATGATAAGTTTGTGTGTGTGTGAGAGAGAGAGAACCAACTACCTAGAAATGGAAGGTGTGTGGATATATTTATATAGCTGAATATACTCAAAATTAAAAAATATAACCAGCCAATCTGGTATTTCCGATAACATTATTGTTGCAAACTTTGCAAAAATGATGAACTTAATTGGAGTATATATCGTTTAAAGCCTCGTGGTTGTGGTACATCGATAAAACACGTAAGAAAATATTCTAGTATAAATATTTAATAAACAAGTGTACTACTGTTTCAACTTAATTTTGGTATTTTTCAGTCTTCTTATAAAATTCTGACAGTAGTATACTAAATAAAAATTAAACAATTCAAGTTCGTTGTTTTGGTGCTTTAAGTGTTTTTGTTGTTGTTTTAAGAAAAGCATAAAATAATTTCGAAGGATAATAAAAGTGGTGTGAATAAATTGTTCACACTCCTTTAATATCTTGCAGTTTAATGCGGCATTTTTCAATATTTAAAAACTATTATAACTGGATTAAATAAGTTTTATGATTAAAGCAAGGTGAAACTTTCTTTAGGTTATAATTTGCTTATGTTATTATTTTATAGGTAAATTGATTTCACATTTATATAAAAAAGTACATTTCTGAATATAGACCATTTTAAAATAATGACCACATTTGCTCGATATTCAATATGCTAAAGTAAACAAGTATTTGGGAATTCATCCCTTGATTTTTAAAAACAAAAGTCACTGATGCCTGCCACCAGTGGCACAACGGTATGTCTCCGGACTTACAACGCTAGAAACCGGGTTTCAATACCCGTGGTGGGCAGATCACGGATAACCTATTGTGTAGCTTTGTGCTTAATTACAAACTAACACATTCTTTTCTGACTCAACAGTTGGATTTTACTGTCACTCTTAAAACGCATCCGTGATTCCAAAGTGCGGAGCGCGATTATATTTTTTTGTCGGAAATGGACATGAACCTCAGATCCACATTTCGGCTCGATAAGCACTGAGCAACGGTCGCCGCACTACAGTTCAAAATAAATAAACTATACATATTAACATATGTATAGTTATATAAAGCTTATCATTCTAAATCCTTATTCAGCAAGGAACTCGTGTTTAATGGTTTTACTTTGTACTGTTGCTCTAGAGTTCGTATCAAAAACTAAAATCCTTGTTTAAACTGTTCAGCATCCTCTGATGGAATTCTAATGAATGATTGATGTACTTTCGCAGGGTACCCGAAAGTGTTCTGTTTCAAGAGTAAATATAACCAAAATTAAGAGTAACACATATTTTTTATTTCTTGCTTTTAAATTTCATATGCCATACTGTGTTGTAGCCTACAGAGTGCATAATTCATTCTTCTCGTGAGTCATGGCATGCGCACGTCTTATTGACATCACAACAGTACAAATTGATACGTTAAGCGTCCCTTATGTAACGTCATTTTAGTGTCTACTGACTGACAGACAGACAACAGACTACTGTATAGTGATGCGAGTAGTTAAAACAAGTGACCCCTTCTAGGGGGCCTTAATGCACCCTATCGGTAAAATACTTATCAAAACCTTTTATGGCATATTTATTTATTAAGAGAAAGAACTGTCATGTACAGAAAAGAAAATCTTATAACGACTTTTCTAAATTAATCCCAGGTAATATTGTATTGAAATGTGGTAACAAATGTAACCACAATTCATCTTCAGCTGAATATGGTTTCATAAAACATTTGATTGCTTGTATCATAGCTTTGTTTCATGAATATGTTTGTTTTGTAGTGAATCAGGTTTTCGTCATGTATTTCGTTTTTAAAGGAATTTTATTTATATATCGTACAACGCTTAACAACTAAGATTTATATAATGTCATACCGTTAAAAATGACATTAAAAACATTTCCCTTTTTTATTTTTTTTATTTATTTAAAGTAAACTTTAAAAAAAAAAGCACGTCAGGTGGTCCAGTAACTGATCTAAGCCTGTGTTGGATGCCGTCGTGACTCATTAATCTAACACATCACTGATAGCTTCATGTTATGTACGAGCACGGGTTGAGCAGTCATCAATTTTTGTCACTTTAAACAATAACGTAACAGCTGGACCCCAGGTAGTAATTAGAAAACATGAAGTTTGGTATCTCAACAAATCGCCCACATTACGACCCGAGTGCAAAAGCTGGACGAACTCTTCCGGTTTCATGGTCGGCCATTAACGAAAAGATAACAACAAGATGATCACATTACATTAATGTCATGCAATGTTTTATCTTAATGCGAAAACCGTCAGACCCACGATACCACACGCACTGCATTGGTGCAAGTAAAAAATTTGTCGAAACTAATAAAACAGATTTGTTATTTTATAAACTATAGCAAGCACACGTTTTCTTACTTGTTTGATTCATTATCTAGCAATCATCTTCATTAAACACAACAGTAATGACTTTGAATTAATATTTTTTCCTGTTCGGGTTGTTTATAACTAGTCTAATATTTTAATATTTTATTAAGAGAGAAAACATTATGTCGTGTCCCCAAGGTTGTGACGAGTTTGGTATATTTCTCGTAGTCTGAGTTATTATCCTTGCCAGCTATAACTGTTTATTGGATATGATTTTCAGAATATGCAGTTTATGAGTTCGTAACTTTGTACCAATGGTATATTTATGGTATTCAAGTTCCTGATATCCAACAATCACTAGCAGATTAAGGAAACATTTTACAGAGAATAAACTGAATAACAATAATTATTATCGATTGGCTTCTATACTTCTGAACAACTCTAATAATAGCTACTGAAATTGAGAGAAAGTAAAGAAACAAGTATACTTCGCGGAAGACCAAAGAATTAAGTCTATACCACACTCTTAAGTTAGACCAAAGAATTAAGTCTATATCGCACTATTATGTTAGACTAAAGAATTAAGTCTATATCACACTCTTAAGTTAGACCAAAGAATTAAGTCTATATCACACTCTTAAGTTAGACCAAAATCCTAGCGTGATATCTCACGATCATAGTTACCTACGTCAGTGAGTGACAATTTCTATTGTACATATTCAAGGAGAGATTAACTACCAGCTCATGCTGACTTGTACAAACCTCTGTACCAACCATCGCTCCACTTAACTATGATCCATCCTCCAGGGGAAGCGAAAACAAAAGAATATGGCTAAGCAACTTTTCTAAATGTGAGTATCAATGAATGTTTTCGACTGTTCACATCCTGTTCATAAGAACGTTGGCCAAATAAAGAACATCTGCACAAAAAATGTGCCCTAACATACCTGATTATAGAGGTATTAATTCTAAGTTAGGAGATGGTAAAATATAGCAATATTCCAATTTCTACATTTTCAGGTCATTAAAAACCAGGTTATCAAACCAGCACCTGCATTATTCTTCACAGTTTCTGGAAATGGAACAACTTATGGACTAAGATTTCAAGTGATTCAAGTGACGGGCAATAACTATCGATAAATAGAGTATCCGAATATATTATTTTTAACATCATCTGGCTTTTTTGAGATTCCCAAGTACAAACCATAGAAAAAAGATAAAAAGAAGTAGTTGAAAAGGTTGTACAAAATGTCATATTTTTAAATCAGATAGTTAGTTGATAAACTTATACCTTTAACGTAATCACCATGTTCAAAAGCAGTTGTTTTAATATGAATATTTTGCAGATAACGTTATCAAACAAGAAAATGTAATTATCTTTAGGATAGATTTGCAGCCGATAAACAGCTCGATAGGATTGGACTAACAGCGACTTGTGCGATTTTGTCAAAAAAAACCTTCAATAGTTAAAACTTTGAATTTTTTCACCATATTTTTACATAAAATCTGAAAAGGTAACAATTTTAAACTACCAGTGTATTTTACACGAATCACCAACCGTTTAATCGTTGCAACGTTATATCGATTTGTCGTAAGAGTCGATAATGATGCAAAATTTGTTTGTTTTGTTTATCACAAAGCTGAACAATAGGCTATATATATATATATATATATATATATACTGTTTCCACAGCAGATATCGA